CTAAATATTAAAGCGATATTTACAATTTATCCCACTAGTCCGTTGCTTCGTAAGCGAAAATAATAAAAATTACAATTTGGAACCGAATTTGTAAAAATAAAATCCCAGCAGAAATAAATTTACTAGGTATTTTAGTTGATATTACAAATTAAATTGTAATAATTAAGAAATTTGAAATAATTTTTAGAAAAACATGTCAAAATTGAGATTATTACAAGTTACCTAATAAATTTTAGAATTTCTACTGCAAATTCAGTCATTTACAAAGTAGTAATTTTTGCATTGTCATAAAAATTTAAAACAATGATCATTTCGGGAGACGAAAGATGTATTTCCTTGTAGCAATATTTATGAACCTTTTATTTAATAAAGTTACAAAGCTTTTAATGTAACATACTTTTGTGTTTTTTACTTTGCGTGGATAGGTGTTTTGCCTTTATGATAATCCCTGAAAACTACCACAAATGAGCTGCAGTTACGCCAAATATGTTCGTATTAAGAAAAAAATAAGTTAAATCGTCCAAATAAACAAATACAAAGAGCTTTTTATAAGAATTGGAAATCCACCTTATGCAGTGTAATTTTTATCAAAAACATTTTTATCTAAAAGTAACTACTAAAAAATAGGATTTCTGCAGTAAATAGTAGAGTTTGATATGCATTGTAAGTACAAAATCCTCCAAAATACATTATTTTATACAAACCATACTGGTGAGTAATACGTTTAACTATACTAAGAAAATAATAATACACCCACCTTCCATCCATGATGGGAATTTTCCGTTGAAACTCGGACCCATTGTATTAATTAATCTAATAATTATCAAGTTCAGAAGCATACATAGTGTAATCCTAACTCGAAAAGTTCTTCTTTCTTCTTGTAATAAAAGGACTAAGCCATATTGCACTAAACGCAACTTTATAATCCATAATATAGCACACGAAACATCGCCCAACAGGCACTTGTCTTGAATCGAATACAACTGCGGACGAGAATGACGATAATGAAAGCACTTTACCTAAATCTATGTTGCCAAATTGAACAATTAAAATAATATTAATTGATGAACAAATTAAATTTTTAGCACGTTTTTTCTTTTTGAATTAAAAAACTCCTACGCAAAAATTAAAAATTTCGAAAAAGCTCACCGTTTAATTGAAAAAGGATAAAAAGGATAATTAGGGTGGATCAAATGATACGGTTTATTCTTTTATGTTCAAACGTTTAGAAATTAATTTTTATTGAAACATTAAAGGACGAATTAAAAAAAGTATACCGCCAAAAAGGGTTTCCTATAAAATTTTACAAACACCTAGTATGCTAAGCCATGTTGTCTTTAGGCACTGTTGTTCCCGAATATCTAAATTGATTAACTTTAATAATGAACTATGTCTAAAAATAAAAAAAGGTATTACATCCAAATAGAATAGCCAGAAAAATATGATAAGGGTTGCTAGGTATTATCCTTAAAACAAAGTTAATAATTCATTGCTTACTATNTAATTATAATATATAAAGCTACGTTATTAGAATTTTGTTGAATAAATTCACTTTCCTTTAATCGAATACAAATTTAGAAAGGGCCCCACAAAAAGAAGGCTCTCCTGGAAAGACAGGCTGCAAAAATGGACCAATTTGAGTGGCGGGTGGTAATGGTTGCAGAAGGATTCTAGGACTTCGAATTCCTGTAGTCAGTTTCTACCGCAGAATCTAAGAAAAGACAACAAATACTTTGCATTAGAAATTTACATGTGTAATAAACAATTAAAAGAAACAAAGACTATTGATTTGTCTATTTTTAAGTAAGATTTGCGATATTTATTTCAAGTATGATCTTTGAGATCAATAATCCTAATAGATAATAAACCATTATTTGTGAGCTGCAACAATATTAATAATTAAAATTAATAAAACTTACCAGTTCATAAACCTCAACTTTTGAAGTATTCCTCTAGTGACCAAATCATCTTTATGGACATTTCTGAAATAAGTAAACACTGTAACAACACCGGCTTTTACATATTGCAACTAAAATAAAATATTCTTGATTCACTTCAACATATTTTTGAATTTGAAATCAAAGACAAAGTAACTGATTCATTTAAATCTTTACACGAATATGCATTTTAAAATAAAAGTAATTTAAGTAAATATATCAAAAATGGTAAATATAATAAAGCAAGCAATTAATATAATGTATCGTTAGAATTGTAGGTAATCATCTGATGTTATATAAATTAATTACAATTATACAAAACTGTCTACCTATTCTTTAGTCTGAGGAATCTAAATTTTGGCAAAACAATTGTTGCTGCGTTTGATATAAAATAAATAAGTTACTTGTACTTTCATTTTACAAAAAATTTCTTCAATTTCTCAAAAAAAAAATAAATAAAGGAAAAACGGTTACTTATTGACTTTGGAAAACATTAAATAATTTTTAACAATGAATTGGAAAATAAGGAATAATTTTAGCTACATATTTCCAACACATTACTTTCTTTATAATACGTATCAAAGCAGATGATAAGAAATAGAAATCCTAAAATCGATTATTTGTGTAAATTCTACTAGCAGGTAGATACCCAGTTCAGGTGAAATAAATCTATTAAAAATTTCGTTTACAATAATTTACATCTCTTTTTTGTCAAAATTGAATTATCACTTACTACGTTTGTATGCAATTAGTAATTTGAATTTTTATAGCCTAATATAAAAACGAAAATAGTACAGTTGCTTTTGTTCTTTTAAATACAGAACTGTATAGCAATTTTTAAGTGGTACGTTAGTAACAACTATGATGATATGCTTTTATTCGGATAATTTGCCTTTTTATAAAAGTATACCAACCCTCGTTGACGGTAAAATAACAGTAAATGTTTGAAGAGTTATTAAAAGAAATTACAATAAAAAAAATGCAAAGCCATGGGAAGGTCCTAAAAGCTCTATTGAAAAACAAGTAAAACATTGCTTCTAAAGTAAAATCCTAGCTACCACAATTTTATATTCTCTGCTTTATTACAGCCTAATTAAAGTAAAATTTACCACTTACGTTTTATGTAGACTGGTTCATAGGGAATAACTCATCAGTCATCACAATCTACTTTATTCTGCAAGACGAAAAAGAAAAAATTAACCATAAATAATTAAAAGATACAAAGATTACTGATTTGTCTACTTTTAAGTAAAATTTGCGATATTTATTTCAAGTATGATTCTTGAGATCAATAATCCTAATAGATAATAAACCATTATTTGTGAGCTACAACAATATTAATAATTAAAATTAATAAAACTTACCAGTTCATAAACATCAACTTTTGAAGTATTCCTCTAGTGACCAAATCATCTTTATGGACATTTCTGAAATAAGTAAACACTGTAACAACACCGGCTTTTACATATTGCAACTAAAATAAAATATTCTTGATTCACTTCAACATATTTTTGAATTTGAAATCAAAGACAAAGTAACTGATTCATTTAAATCTTTACACGAATATGCATTTTAAAATAAAAGTAATTTAAGTAAATATATCAAAAATGGTAAATATAATAAAGCAAGCAATTAATATAATGTATCGTTAGAATTGTAGGTAATCATCTGATGTTATATAAATTAATTACAATTATACAAAACTGTCTACCTATTCTTTAGTCTGAGGAATCTAAATTTTGGCAAAACAATTGTTGCTGCGTTTGATATAAAATAAATAAGTTACTTGTACTTTCATTTTACAAAAAATTTCTTCAATTTCTCAAAAAAAAAATAAATAAAGGAAAAACGGTTACTTATTGACTTTGGAAAACATTAAATAATTTTTAACAATGAATTGGAAAATAAGGAATAATTTTAGCTACATATTTCCAACACATTACTTTCTTTATAATACGTATCAAAGCAGATGATAAGAAATAGAAATCCTAAAATCGATTATTTGTGTAAATTCTACTAGCAGGTAGATACCCAGTTCAGGTGAAATAAATCTATTAAAAATTTCGTTTACAATAATTTACATCTCTTTTTTGTCAAAATTGAATTATCACTTACTACGTTTGTATGCAATTAGTAATTTGAATTTTTATAGCCTAATATAAAAACGAAAATAGTACAGTTGCTTTTGTTCTTTTAAATACAGAACTGTATAGCAATTTTTAAGTGGTACGTTAGTAACAACTATGATGATATGCTTTTATTCGGATAATTTGCCTTTTTATAAAAGTATACCAACCCTCGTTGACGGTAAAATAACAGTAAATGTTTGAAGAGTTATTAAAAGAAATTACAATAAAAAAAATGCAAAGCCATGGGAAGGTCCTAAAAGCTCTATTGAAAAACAAGTAAAACATTGCTTCTAAAGTAAAATCCTAGCTACCACAATTTTATATTCTCTGCTTTATTACAGCCTAATTAAAGTAAAATTTACCACTTACGTTTTATGTAGACTGGTTCATAGGGAATAACTCATCAGTCATCACAATCTACTTTATTCTGCAAGACGAAAAAGAAAAAATTAACCATAAATAATTAAAAGATACAAAGATTACTGATTTGTCTACTTTTAAGTAAAATTTGCGATATTTATTTCAAGTATGATTCTTGAGATCAATAATCCTAATAGATAATAAACCATTATTTGTGAGCTACAACAATATTAATAATTAAAATTAATAAAACTTACCAGTTCATAAACCTCAACTTTTGAAGTATTCCTCTAGTGACCAAATCATCTTTATGGGCATTTCTGAAATAAGTAAACACTGATATAGCACCGGTTTTTATATATTACAACCAAAATAAAATATTTTTGAGTCATTTCAACACATTTTTAAATTTAAAAGAAAAGACAAAGTAACTGATTCATTTAAACCTTTATTTGAATACGCATTTTTGAATAAAAGTAATTTAAGTAAATATATCAAAAATAGTAAATATAATAAAGCAAGCAATTAATATCATGTAGGTACCCATAAAGTAACAAGTGTGGCTTTTACAGTTGGACAAATAACAATTATGGTATTTATACGAAACTGTCTACCAATTATTTAGTCTCAAGAATCTAATTTTGACAAAACAATTGTTGCTGTTTTTGATATTAAATAAGTAGGTTACCTTTCATTCTACCGAAAGTTTCTTCAGTTTCTCAAAAAAATAAAGGAAAAACGGTCACTTATTGACTTTCGAAAATAATAAATATATAATTTTAACAATGAATTGGAAAATAAGGAATAATTTTTTCTATTTATTTTCAACATATTAT